CCGCCCCTGAGCCTCTGGCCTGTACCCCAGTTCTGTATGCACAAATAAATAAATCTTTGGAAAAAAAAAAAAAAGAGAATAGTATATCTTCCCTGCTCACCAGAATTACATAAAAGGATGCTTGAGAGGAACTTTTCAAAATACGGTGTCTTCCTTCCTGTGTCCAAAGGAAGCATTTTTATGTAAATTGAAAATCACTGGGTGAAATTTCAGGGCTTGTTCTTTGGGAGTGTGTGGTGCAGATAATGTAAAGATAGAAAGGAGAGGGAATAAAATGGTGCTTCATAAAAGGCCACAATATTTAAGTGTTAAATAATCAGTTCATTCTCTAGGTTCAGGAACAGTATTATCTTAGATCTCTTCATTTTCTATTTATCTAATTTTATTACGATCCCTAGCAAAATTGTTGTGTAGGAATTAGAGTAGAGAAAAACAAAACAGAATCTGGATACCAGAGCATAGGTGGCTTACTGCTAAAATGAGTGATTAATTTTTGCTCCCGAGACAAGGGGAAGTGAGTTTTATATCCAGTGAACTTACTGTTACAGGGCCATCAAAATTCTCTAGAATAACTGATATTCTGAGTACTATCTCAGTGAATGCCAAACCAAATCCAGCAACCTTTATATCTTTAAATGTAGTTGAAAGCTTTTCAAGGTTTATGGTTCTGTTTGAAGAGCCACCTTGCTTGGTAGAGTAAAATGGAAATGATAATGACAAAGATAATCTTATATTAGACTGTTGATTCCAGAGTGCTTTGATTTCTCACTAAATTATCTGAGGGCAAATGAGAAACACTAATGGAGTTCTCTGCTTGTTTTATCTGCAGACTGCAGCTGAATATGTAAAATCTCGACTCCCAGAGGCCCTTAAACAGCATCTTCAGGACTATGAGAAAGACAAGGAAAATAGTGTATTGTCTTACCAGACCATTCTTGAACAGCAGATTCTATCAATTGACCGAGAAATGCTAGAAAAATTGACTGTATCCTATGACGAAGCAGGTACGTTTGTCCTTAATGCACACAATTTGTTTCCCTGTAGAAATTTCTCTTTATGCCTTGGTCATATTTAGCCTCTTTTCTGAGATAGAACATGAAGGACAATCTGAATTCAAACTTACATAGCATGGATTAACAGTAAGTTTCTCCTTTGTAGTTTTATTCTCAAATATTTCATCAATAGATTTTTAAAATGGCTCTTAAATATCAAAACTCCCTATAGCACCATTTTTATCTTCTATATAATCTGTCAGCTGAAACCCAATTTTTTTTTTTAAAACCAGTGTGATATTACTTGGAGTTACTAAAAATTGTTAATAAAAATTAAATTTGGTAGAAATACGTAGATTAAAATTATCAAAACTATTCCCCTGCAGTCTCCCCCAAATAAAGGAGGAAGGTAGATTTTCAGTGGTCAAATGTTGGTAGTAATCCCTATTTTAATACCAAGGGCTTCTATTTTTCTTTCCACAGGAAATTGCTATAACGCAGCTTATTTTCCTCAATTTAATCTCAGCAGTCTCAATGTTGCATTAATCTTTGATTTCAGTTTGAATAACAAAAAAATTCAAATTAAAATATATTCATGCTACATATACCTTACTACTAAGCTGATTTTTCTGCTTATTAAACTATCCCCATTTACATTTTACCCTCACAATCCTTTGCATCCCTCTCAGGCAGTGCCCACATATCTAATCTTGTTCAAGATTAACTCTTTTTGGTTTTTGGTAACCATAACTCTGTATGTATCTTGTTTTTACCACCCTTGTCTTTAAAATAATAATCTCCTCTCTCATTTCTTTGAATGAATCAGTAATATATGGATAGTGGAGAAGACAGTGGGAATGAGCATCAGCTGCAAATCACCGCCACTTAATTTTTCCTTCTTTAAGAAAATCATTCACCTGCACTGTTGTCCAGCAGCTCTTGAACTGCAGAAGTACACTTGTACATGCCTTTAAAGACAAAAACGTTAACATAGGATTTATGTGTAAATAAACTCTCCAGCAAGAAACAGTAGAAATAACTAAAACTAAGAGTTGACAGATCTGAATTCTAGTCCTTCTTCTAGCTTAATAATTTTTAACATTTTAATCTCTTTAGAGTCTGTTTCTTTATGTATGAAGTTAGGCTAATAATATTCAAAGGGTTCTTATTATGATAAAATACATCATGTTTGTGTTAGCCCTTAGAAATCCTATTCCAAATGTTGGTAATGCTGAATGAGAGCTCATTTGAATCTTGACTCTCCCTCAGGCCACTTTAAAGTACTCTTAGCATGTAGTATTTGGAGAAACAGAACAATTTTTTAAAGATTACTTTCAGAAGCTTGAGAAGTCAATTAACATCTTTTTGTTAAATTACCTTCACTGGCCTTATTTTGCTATTAGTCATTCTTGTATGAAGTGAAACATTTGGTGGGTATATGTATATGTGTGAGTAAATGAGCATCACTGTCTTCTTCTCCACTATCAAAATATTACTGATTAATTCAAAGAAAGAAGAGAAAAATATAAAAAGAAGAGAAAAATATAAAAAATTGGTAATGATATCCAATATCTTCAAATTAAACAGTCTGTAGTCATATTCCTTTGTTTTAACTGCTTAGTTTCTTTCTATGCTATCCCATGTCTCCATATTCTTAGTTTATGTCTCCATATTCTTAGCTTAACTCTTCTAGTTTTAGAAAGTAATTTATTACTAACTGGGAGATATCTTGGTTTCTAGAGAGCTAATTTGTCATTAATCCTCATTTAACGATAAGTCACTCTAAGTAAATTATGACAGTAGTAACCTGTGGCTTCTAGCCTTCTGAAAAACCATTTAATGATAAAACCTTACATATTTGTCTAAATGCATTGGCTTCAAACATTTTCTCTGTCCTTATCCCCACCTTCTCATTAAGCATCTACATTCCTTAATGCTTTACTCTTCCACAATTCAAATATCCAGTACCCTGATATACTTTAAATTCAGCAAAGAAATGGGAAGTGGGCAAAAGCTACTGTAACCATGCCATGTTACAAAACAGCAGGCAAGCCCATACAACAGAGGCTTTAGATTCTTGCATAGCCTATGTAGTTTTTACACAGATATGACCAGTCAGGTCATATTAACAATGTGATATTTTCTTTTTAAAAATTCTTTTTTGGACTTTAAAATATAAGACTTTAATTGTAGAAATAAATAAAATGGTTCAATAAGAGAATAGTTATAATCTGTAATCCTACCATTGTAAATGTTTTGATCCATTTCCTTTACTGAAAGCATTTTTGAAATGAGTATTATATCTTATAGTTTAACATCCTTCTCCTTTCACTTATTATTGCATAAGCACTTCCTCATTTCATTTAAACATGTTCATATGAAGATAATTTTAGGTGTAGTATTCTATTCTTTGAAAGTACTACTAATTCTCCTAAGTTGGGCATTTATGTATTTGCTTTTGTTTTTGCTGTGATGAATAATGCCACAGATAAATGTGCATTTATCGGCATGCCATAGTATCCTAGAGAAAACATGAGTACAGGAGTAGAAGGCAGGGGAAAGGTGATGATACTCAGAGGGGAGACATTGTAAGCAGCAAGGATTTAGAACAAAGAGTAAATATGTAAGAATTCATAAAAAGGAGTTATGATATTCTCAGCATTAAAGTATACTCTAAGTGAAATCATCATTTATAGACTTTGTGTTATAGAAGTAACATCATTACTCTTCAAAATGATGATATGATTCACCAAAAAATGTTCAGTTATGCTAATTATACAATGCATAAAAATAGGAATTGTATAAACCAATTTAGAAAGATTTTCATTCTAAGTTTTTTTAAGTTTTGACTATTATATGATTGAACAGGTTTTGTTGAAAGAGATCTTGGAATCAAAAATCCCATAGTTTATTACTAGCTGTGCTGTAAACTTATGTGACCTCAAATAAGTTACCAGAGTTCCTTAATGTCCATATTCCTATAAATACAAGGCATCAACAGTATCTTATAGCTGTTTCACTTTTGGTTTCCTAACAATGGAAAATTCAGGTATTCTTATTTTCTGCAAGGTTGCATATAACTTCTTCTTGAAACTTCTGCTTTCTCTATAGCCTTTCTCTTCTGTCCTCACATAGATCATTTAAACATATGAAAAGAAAACCCTCATTCAACTTTCCTGCACATGACTGTGTTCAGGTATAGTTTTGCTGGAATGATGGGGAGTGAGGCTGTATGAATCAGGTTTTGGAAGGAAAGATTCTGATCCAGCATCCATGGATTCTCATTATAATAGCTATGATATTTTTACTAGTAGTAAAAAAAATACAGAGTAAGAAGTAAGATAATGTTGGAGGGAAAAGGAAATCATCTGTATCCCTCAGTATTCTTCTACACTGGAAAAAAATCACACAAACATCAGACATATTTATAAAAGACAAAATCAAAACAAGTTAAAAATAACATGAGTTACCCAGCATGACTGAGTAACTCACTTATGTATCTTCAGATGCCCACCTAAATATCTTAGCAAGTCAGGAAGACTTTGGGGGAAGAAGGTAAGGATGGCCACTTAGGAAAATTACCCAGGAAGTTAATAGATAAAGATTTGCAGACTAAAGAAATTAGGTTCCCAACTAAGCACCCATGCAGAAGTTTACAATAACCTATTTTTTCAAAAGCGTCCTACACCCAGCTTTCAGAATGGTCCCAACAAACTTTTCATCAAAAAGATGAATATTTAGGTTTCAGATATTTGCTCCCTTATAGCATGGTTTACATTTAATATATTAATGTTTTTATTTGAAGCAGTAATCTACACATTTTAACGAATTGGGCCTAGCATAGCAAAATTAAAAAACAAGAACAAAAACCTAGTAGCATAGTTCGAGAAGAGATATCAGAGAACATCATAAACCTAAATATTTTATTTGCTTCATGGGCAAAAGGTCAAGGATTTAGCTAGCTGGAGAAGGTATTTTTCCCTAAATAATTATTTTTTATGCTGGTATCATTCATATTTCTTTAGTCTCAAAAGCCATTGGAAACTGGAGTAAAGACTTCCATGCATACATGCATACTGAACCTTTAAGGAAAGTTGATTATACCTACAGAAGATGGACTGTTAAGTGATGGTAACTTGCTGCTGATCTTGAAACATTCCCAAAGTTGTGGCTGAGGTGTCCTTGTTAACATTAAATCTAAAACCAACAGGTGTTTTATTGCTGTTCTTAGAGTTTACTAGAAAACCATATAGCTTTCTAATGAGTGTGTGCTTATTCTACCGCATAGAAAAAAAAAAGGTAGCAAGTGAGCTAGACAATACAGATGAGGGAAGGAATGGACCCAACTTCTGTTTATTGTGCTCATTTGGGATTCAGTTAAAACTAGGGACCTGCAGGTCAATTTATAGGTGTCAGCAAATCACATACAGCTTTCCAGAGGAGGTGAAAGAAAAGGAATTTGTCAGTCTTTGCTTTGTGATTCCTGAGAGCTGATTCAAGCAAAAGCTTTCTGCTATGAATACACACCATGTGCTGTAATGTACTTTGTGGAGAAATAGCTTTTTAAAAAGGTGATGAAATGTGCTCTGAGTAATTTAGGGAGTAGCTGGAGGATGGCTTCCTATTGAGTTTATTTTGTTCTTCATAAAATATATGATGCCTAAATGTTACAGCCATGATTTAATCGAACCATTTGTGTCAGAGTAATCAGTGACCTCAAAAGAAGTGATTTGCTGTCATAGAAAAAGTTGAACACACAGTGAGAAGCCAAATCCAGAAAAGAGATTGGGAAGTATTTAGGGTCCTTTCTAGTTTTCCAGTAACTTTAAAAAATGGAAAAAAGGCATTTGCAGGAAGATCTTCACTTTAACAAATAGGGTGAATTGCTCTACCTTATGAAAGAGGTGGCAGTAAGTTTTCCTTACTTTATATCTTCAATAAAGACCCCACTTCTGGGGTCTGTGTATACCTGGTGCACAGGGGTTGAAGTCTCAGTACTATCAAGCTATCAG